TCACCATGTTGACCAGGATGGTCTCGATCTCTTGACCTCGTGATCCACCCGCCTCGGCCTCCCAAAGTGCTGGGATTACAGGCTTGAGCCACCGCGCCCGGCTAACTTGTTCATTCTTGAGACAAAAGTGAGTTACTTATAAAGAAGCCATGTTGAAAGGAAACCAACAGATTTTAATAATCTGATTAGAGGAGCAAAGTATTAAGAATAAATGATAACTCTTTGTAGCTGCAGAAAGAAATGAGATTATATATTCTTAAGCAATATAAAACTAACATATTGTGTGTAATCTCCATGTTCCTAAATTTTGAAATAATGAAACAATGTGATGTTGCTTTTTCATGTTGACAGAACTACATTTTTTAAATTTTTAAATTTTTTTAATTTTCTATTTTATTTATTTTTTTTGAGATGGAGTCTAGCTCTGTCACCCAGGCTGGAGTGTAGTGGCGTGATCTTGGCTCACTGCAACCTCTGCCTCCCAGGTTCAAGCGATTCTACTGCCTCAGCCTCCTGAGTAGCTGGGATTACAGGCGCACACCACCACACCCAGCTATTTTTTGTATTTTTAGTAGAGGTAGGGTTTCACCATGCTGGCCAGGCTGGTCTCGTACTCCTGACCTCAGGCAATCCACCCACCTCAGCCTCCCAAAGTGCTGGGATTACAGGAGTGAGCCACCACGCCCAGCCTATGTTATATTTATTTTAAACCGTATGACTTTAATCTCAGCACAAGCATGAGCAAATTAAAAACCTTAATAAGGGTTTATACCTCCTTCATTGGTGGGTTCAGATGTGAGGGCTTCAAATGTTTTTTTAAATTCAATATATAATTGATCTTTGAACAACTGCAAGCACTAGCAAAGGATTTGCTCTAGAATCAAACATTAACAAAGGATTACTGTGATTGGATCTGCCTGGGGATTTAATCAGCTTTCCCTAAGTGAACTGGGGATGGGTGAAACACTGAATATAATTAGGATTCTGTTAAAAAAAAAAAAAAAGGATAATAACTGCTAAAGAGACCAACAACAGCATCTGCTATACACCATGTAATACTATTCTATAAAAAAAACGAGATCATATCCTTTGCAGGGACATGGATGAAGCTGGAGGCCATCATCCTTAGCAAACTAACACAGTAACAGAAAACCAAATACCACATGTTCTCATAAGTGGGAACTAAATAATGAGAACATATGGACAGAAAAGGGTGAACAACAGACACTGGGGCCTACTTGACGGAGGAGGGTGGGAAGAGGAAGAGGTTCAGGAAAAAAAAAACTGTCAGGGAGTATGCTTAGTACTGAAGTGACAAAATAATCTATACACCAAACCCCCAAGTCACAAGTTTACCTAATAACAAACCTGCACATGTACCCCTTAACCTAAAAGTTAAATTATTTTAATATCAGTGAACCACTTTTCTCTCATAAATCTTACATTTTTTTCTGAATGGAATATTGGAATTGGAGTTTAGGGGATTTTGCTCCCTATGCAACAGGGAGAGTGAAACACACCATGGCCTTTAAACTTTGTAAAAAGGAATAAAACAAATGAACTGCCTTAAGCAGCCAACGGATATTATACCTTTTATTTTAAAGTTCTTTTCTCTCAGAGAATCAGAGCTTTTTACCAACTTCATTCACCCTTCCCAACAGTCCTGATCAGGATGAAGTGAAGAGTACAAATTATTTTTATGTTCTAAACAAGAAAGGAAGCATTGAGGTAACTGGCTTTTAGTCATATGAAGAAGCCTTTGTAATATCAGTTAAGTCTAGATTTCATCTCTGAAGGTTTTAAGCTTATTCTATGTTACCTTTTAAACTGTTATTTTTTAGAAACTTCAGCAGATTTTGAAAGTGTTAACTGGCATATCTAATCAGTAGTCGTTTAGAAGCATATTACTTACACCTTATCCATTTATTTTCATTTTTGTATAAGTATCAGGCAAACTAAACAATATTATTTATTTTCCCTTTTTTATTAGTCTACACTTCAGATCATAATACTGAGTTTCTTTCACTTCACTCACTACCTAGTATGTGGAAGATATAAGTTTTATTTGTTAACTGAGGTTTTGTTTTTGTTGTTTTGGCAAAACCTTATAACAATACCAATAAAATTTGCTAATATCTTTATGTAGGAATTGTAATATTGTGATAGAAATGCTGGTTCCTTAAATTACCATGAATTCTTAATTATCAGAAGTTGTGGAGAACACCAGAGATACAGTGAACAACCTCAAAATCTTTTTATATGTCGTGTTGGAATTAATTTGTATACTTCTGTTTGTACATAGATCTTTGTATCCAGCATCCAACAGAAAACATTTGCTTTAGCAGAATATGTGACCTTGACATTTAGAAGCAAGAAGCATTTCTGATAATCTAAAGAGGGAGAATTTATGTCCTCCCTCTGAAGTATTCAAATATTATGTATATTGGGGAAGAATTCTAACTAATAACAGTAACTAACAGTATAGCATTTTCTTGAACATATCATTCTCCTATGGACATAAATTATATTCCCAGTTATGAACAAGCAAGCTGAATACAAAATAGAATGAATGTCTGGAAAAAAATCACAGCTTGCTTTCTCCTTTACATTGGTCTTTGACCACTGTGAATATTGAGGTATAGAAAAAGTGGAGCCACCATGAAATAAGTAAATCTAGAAGATGCTTAAATTGAACCCATTTCCCCAAGGAAACATATTTTATACAAAAAACTGATTATTATTAAAGTATACATAATCATTGATTGAAAATTTCACATTAAGTACAGAAATATAAATGCTTGAAATAAACAGTTACTTTCACAAACCTGATTTTACAGATTGGTGGCAGAATTCCCTGCAACTGGAGGAATAGTTACTTCATGGCAGTTTTACTCTGTGAAGCTCCTCAGATATGTTAGCTACTATGATTATTTTATTGCTTCCTGTGAAATCATATTTTGTATTTTCCTTTTTGTCTTCACAACACAAGAAGTCAAAAAAATAAAAGAATTTAAGTCTGACTATTTCAAAAGTATTTGGAACTGGCTAGAACTGCTACTTTTGCTGGTAAGTATATATTCATGTGTATGGCTGAAGGGGATCACATCTGAACCTACCAATGGAGGTGTAAAAAGAAGATAATCTTCTCTTCATCCAGGACTTATTTTGAAAGCTACAAGTGTCAAACTTAAAATGATCTGGAATAGTACTAACAATGATGTGCCTCCAAAGGGGAGAGATCTATTTTTTTCTGATTTGGTCCTTGGGAGGGTCAGCGTAAACCTACAGGGAAAGGTGACTCCAGAAATATTACACTTTAATGTGCACAGTAGGTCTCCCTACCCCTACTCAAAAAATGTATTACTTACAGGGCCTTGAGTTTCGCCAGTCATGGGTCTGTTGGGGCAAACTTGTTTAAAATGATCTATGTTGCCTAAATCTGTTTTCCTCCTCGTAATAAATTTTGAAAAAATAGACAAATGACAAGGCTAAGCACAATACTGACAGGAGTGAGCAGCCAGAGGGGACCTTGTGGGTCCAGAGGGCACCAGGATTGAGGAAATTGTTCCCAAAAGTAACACCAAAGTCTATCAGTTCTAGTCAATGGAATGTAATGAAATAAACAGATTTAGGCAGGCCGAGACAAATGTTAAGAGCTTGGTCTTAGGAACAAAGAACCAATGTTTCTTGCTTATACAATCTGATCTTTCACCCTTATTGGCCCTTAATTACAGCCAATCAAGTACTTTTAAGCCATTTTTCCCCAAAACCAGATGGAAAGTTTCTGAGAGTCAGAAAGTAAGCCACCTACCTCTCTGGGATCTCCACTAATGTCTTACAAAGGACATAGCATTAAATGTTTATCTGAGCATTTCAGGCAGGAAAATCAAAGGAAAATTTTCATGTCAGTTATAAAGCTCTAATAGCTAAAATAACTTGGTTCTGAAATCCTCTCTTAAAGGATTGTTAAAGGGTTCCAGAAGGTTTTATTTTTTTTTTGTAAATTGTTTTTCTTGTAGTATTACACAGTAGAAAATGTTTAGCTTTTAGGTATTATATAGAGCAGAAATCCTTATGGTCTCAGAGTTACATAATCATTTTATACATTTGTGTTTTATGACTCAAAAAAACCAAGATTTAGATAGGTTAGGATGGCCAAGCAATTAATGTTTTTCTACTTCATAATAATTAATGCTACCTTAAACTTGTATAAGTCGAGGTTACATAATTTCCATTTATGTAAAAGCATATGTCCTATCTTTCTCTCCCTTTTTGTTAAACTTTTGATGAACTTTTTTGTGTGCTTTCTCATAGGCTGTAAGATATTTAGAGGTAGAGATATTCTCTAATTCAATCCTTCTTATTTTCCCATTTAGTTGTGTTTTGTGGCTGTTTCCTTCAACATATACTGTAATATACAAATTTTTCTCTTACTTGGACAGCTGTTGAAAAGTACTGAAAAATATCCAGATTTCTATTTTCTTGCATACTGGCACATTTATTACAACAATATAATTGCTATTACCATCTTTTTTGCATGGATAAAGGTATTTATATTTTATTATCTTACATAATATAACAGTGTAATAGCTAATGAAAAATTAAAAAGCCATGGGGGAAAATGATTTTCTTAACTATTAAGTAATTTTAAAAGTAGTTTGGGCTGGGCGCAGTGGCTCAGACCTGTACCCCTAGCACTTTGGGAGGCCAAGGCAGGTGGATCACTTGACCCCAGGAGTTCTAGACCAGCCTGGGAAACACAGTGAAACTCCCTCTCTACAAAAAATACCAAAAAAATTTAGTTGGGTTTGGTGGCGCACACCTGTAGTCCCAGCTACTCTGGAGGCTGAGGAGGGAGGATCCCTTGAGCCCAGGAGGTAGAGGTTACAGTGAGCTGTGATCCCCCACTGCATTCCAGCCTGGGTGAAAAAAAAAAAAAAAAAAAAAAAAAAAAATCTTTGGCTTTGTAATGATTGCTGGCAAATCCTCAAACACTCATGATTATCATTAAATATCTCCTGTAATTCAAAGCAGAATTTTTCTGAAAGTAATTTACTCTAAGTAATTATAATCTTTGATATTCTCCTATTTCAATTAACTTTGTTCTTTTTCAGATATTCAAATTTATAAGCTTTAATAAGACAATGTCTCAACTGTCATCAACCTTGTCACGTTGTATTAAAGACATAGTAGGATTTGCCATCATGTTTTTTATAATATTCTTTGCTTATGCCCAGTTAGGATTTCTTGTTTTTGGATCACAAGTTGATGACTTTTCCACTTTTCAGAATTCCATGTAAGCTTTTAGTATAAATGTAATTATATCTTCTATATTTTCTAACAAAAAATGGAAAGGTCTAACCTTCTATGATAAGTAGTAATATAAGCTTTAATATATTTAAATTTAGTTTGATATTTTCTCTTTTTTTTTTTTGAGACAAGGTCTTGCTTTGTCACCTAAGCTAGAGTATAGTGATGTAATCATAGATCACTGCAGCCTCAAACTTCTGGACTCAAGCAATCCTCAGCCTCCCAAGTAGCTAGGATTACAAGTGTGCACCACCACACCTGGTTGATTTTTTTTGTTGTTGTTATTTTTTTGTAGCAGGGGGGTCTCATCATGTTGCACAGGCTGGTTTTAAACTTTGAAATGCTAGGATTACAGGCATAAGCCACCATGCCTGGCTGATATTTTCTTTGATGGCTAAATATCTGTCACACTCAAATTAGGGTTTGGCATTGAAGGAGCCAAATGGATTATGGTGTCCATTTTTAAGCTATTACTAGATCAGGTTAGAAAAATAATTTTTCATTTTTGGTCGGGTGTGGTGGCTCACACCTGTAATCCTAGCACTTTGGGAGGCCAAGGTGGGTGGATCGCCTGAGGTCAAGAGCTCAAGACCAGCCTGGCCATCATGGTGAAACACCATCTTAAAAAAAAATAGAAAAATAATTTTTCACTTTTCATTGGAAGTGATAATTTTACCTAAAATAATGGAAATTGGCCTCCATGTCTCTATAGTATTTATTCACTGGGCAAAAGAAATCTTTTTTTTTTTTTCCTTTTTGGGACAGGGTCTCACTCTGTCACCCAGATTGGAGTGCAATGACATGATCACTGCTCACTGCAGCTTCAAACTCCTGAGCTCAAACAATCCTCCCACCTCAGCCTCTCGAGTAGCTGGGCATGCCACCACACCCAGCTAATTTTTGTATATTTTTTTTAAGATGGGGTTTCGCCATGTTGCCCAGGCTGGTCTTGAACTCCTGAGCTCAAGCGATCCTCCTGCCTTGGCCTCTCAAAAGTGCTGGGATTACACCCAGCCACCACACCCAGCCAAAAGAAATCCTAAATGTTTTCTTTAGAGGACTCCATCTTAATATTTTTATTGATATTGACCTGATTGTCCTTTGCTAATCTGCCAAGCATGTATTTTTAAAACAGGTTTAGGCTGGGTGCCATTGCAACTATAATCCCAGCATTTAGGATAATATAACCCTTTATGCTGAGGTGTCATGGTGCTGTTTTCAGGTTGCAAAAAAAGAAACAAATGGATAAACTAAGCTCCAATTAAGAAAAGAGACATTGTATTTGGAGCCTCCAGTATTTATGAGATTATAACCATTCAGTAAATGCTTCAGTTTTTGTCATTCTCATTATTCTTTACAGAGCAGAAATGTCTTAACGCTTTCCTCATAGAAAAGGGCTGAATGGAAGGTTTAGTTACTAAGCTAATTTCTGGAGAGGAAAAAAGAATGAGAAATTGTTCCTTTATCTTTTTTTACAAAATAGCAACTCAAAGATAAAAGATCATGGCAGAAACACTAAAACATATTCTCCTATGCCAGAAAAAATATTTAATTTGTGGTGAGACTTGGTTTCCCTCCAATTCATTATTTTCTCTATCTTATGTAGGAAAGCATTACAAACCAGTATTAAAAGCAAGAAAAATAATTTAAGTATGATTTGGTCAGGTCTTAGCTAGGTACTGAGGATGGAACCTCGGATAACTCTGAGTCCTAGGATTCCAATAGCCCATTTCTTTGAATGCTTTTTCTTCCTTCATTATAGATAGTTCTCTACTCCATTTAGGTGACTGGCAAAAGCAATAAGGGACAAGCAGCCTTTCTTCCTTTTCACTGACCAATCACACAGAGTTATCAACATACAATTAAAAATTTTCTTCCACACACCTGTAATCCCAGCACTTTGGGAGGCCAAGGTGGTTAGATCATAGATCACTTGATGTCAGGAGTTCAAAACCTACCTGGCCAATGTGGTGAAACCCCATCTCTACTAAAAATACAAAACTTAACCAGGCATGGTGGCATGTGTCTATAATCTCAGCTACTCATGAGGCTGACGTAGGAGAATTGCTTGAACCCAGGAGGTAGAGGTTGCAATGAGCCAAGATCCTGCCACTGCACTCCAGCCTATGTGACAAAAGCGAAACAATGTCTCAAAAAAAAAAAAACTCTCCAAATTTCCTCATAAAATAAAGAACACACACATAATTTAAACTGATATTCCTGATATGTCTGGTGCACCATTGCAAATTAATGAGAATATAAAATAAGATTTTCAAGTTAGAAAATTCTAATTCTACTTGCTACTACTATGCTACTCAAAGTCTTAATTTCTTCATTTTCCATCTTTAAAATTAGAAAAAGGAAGGTCTGAAATATTTTAAGTGGTATTTCGTATCAAACCAGGGCATCAAAGAGGGTAAAATAAACCTTAGGATCATGTTGAGTATTATTACCAGAACTTATTTCAGATTAGCAAGTGAAAAATTGTTGGCATCCCTATTTTATCAGAATTTAAGAGTTGGTTAAGGCAAAAATTAAACACTGACATTAGAAAGTTTAGAGCTCTTGGGTCTAAACTTTCTACAAGCTGAAAAAATCACTTGTTGAACAAAGTCTAAGTTCTAATATTTAGAAGAGCACAGAGATGCCACTGCCAAAACCAGTTAGTAAACAGGTATTTCAGGTTCAAATGTTATAGGTGGGCTGAGTGCAGTGGCTCATGCCTATAATCCCGGCACTTTGGGAGGCCAAGGCAGGCGGATCACGTGAGGCCAGGAGTTTGAGACCTGCCTCGCCAACATGGTGAAACCGTGTCTCTACTATAAATACAAAAAAATTAGCCAGGCGTGGTGGTACATGCCTTTAATCCCAGCTACTTGGGAGGCTGAGGCAGCAGAATCGCTTGAACCTGGTAGGCAGAGGGTGCAGTGAGCTGAGATAGCACCACAACACTCCAGCCTGGGTGACAGAATGAGACTCTGTCTCAGAAAAAAAAAAAAAAAAAGTTAGAGGTGCACACTGAATTCACATTCATTAAAACAGTCATTTCAGCCAGGCATGGTAACCCACACCTGTAATCCCAGCTCTTTGGGAGGCCGAGGCAGGTGGGTCACCTGAGGTCAGGAGTTTGAGACCAGCCTGGCCAATATGGTAAAACCCCATCTCTACCGAAAATACAAAAATTAGCCAGGCATGGAGGTGGGTGCCTTTATTCCCAGCTACTCCGGAGGCTAAGGCAGGAGAATCGCTTGAACCTGGGAGGTGGAGGTTGCAGTGAGCCAAGATCGTGCCAGTGCACTCCAGCCTGGGCAAGAGTGAGACTCTTTCTAAAAAAAAAAAAAAAAGCAGTCATTTCCTACATTACCTGTTCAGCTATTGGGGTACCTTAAGTCTTTCCTTTAGGGGAATTTTCTACAACCAATTTTATAGAGCTCTGTACTAACATAATTAAAGTCAGAAAGCACATGCCATGTGCTGCTAGATATCCTTCTAGAGACATTTGTAATCCCATTAGTTGTCATGTATGTACATAAGGGATATGTTTTCTAATGTGTTTCTTTCTTTTAATTAAAGATTTGCACAATTTCGAATTGTTCTTGGAGATTTTAATTTTGCTGGTATTCAGCAAGCCAATCATATCTTGGGACCCATTTACTTCATCACTTTCATCTTTTTTGTGTTCTTTGTCCTGCTGGTAAGAATGATCATATATATTCTTTATATTTCTTACATTTTAGAATAAAAAATAAAATTACTCATTTAGAAGAAACTATTATTTCTGCTCAGCTGTCAGAGTACTTTACATTTATTAAGAATTGTGTGGATCCCTAGTAATCCAGGTTCAACTAGTCCAGTGACTGTTTTCAAGTTGTCTAATGGAGAATGTAGTCACAGTAGTTAACATCTGGGTGTTTTAGATAGGAATGTGCTAAATCATTTACATAAATAATTGGACTGTCCCAGGTCTCTTCAGGCTGGGACAGTGCATGCCAAGAGCGATGAATTTGCCCATTAATATTCTGCCCATATTGCAATGGCTTTTGGCCCTTAGGGCTAAATGCTTACCAGGTTGTGGTTTTCAGGAGTTATCAGGACGGATCTCTCACATGCACTCAGAACAGCCTTCCTAACCAGGAACCTTGTCTTCCTAGTCAAGGCATTGTTACTGTCCTCCATGAAAACACTTTTTGTCAGGCACAGAAGTTATCCCCTGGTGAAAGACAACAGTCTTAGGGTTACAGAGCTAGAGCTGGGCCACAGTGAAAGGTAGGTTGGTGAAGATAAGAATATCCTTTCTACGTTTGTGTTATTTGGACATTAGTAGTTGTAGAAGCTGTAGTAAGACTGTGAATCTAAGCAGCTTCATATAATTAAATACCACCAACAACAACAAACACCTTTGGCCAAGTACAGTGTCTCACATCTGTAATCGCAGCACTTTGAGAGGCCAAGGCAGGCAGATCACTTGAGCTCAGGAGTTCGAGACCAGCTGGGCAACATGGCAAAACCCTGTCTCTACTAAAAATACAAAAATTAGCCAGGCAATGGTGGTGCACACCTATAATCCCGTCTACTTGGGAGGCAGGAGAATCGCTTGAACCTGGGAGGGAGAGGCTGCAGTGAGCTGAGATTGCACCACTGCACTCCAGCCTGGGTGACAGAGTAACATTTTTGAGACCCTGTCTCAAAAACAAATAAAAAACACCCTTATGAACACAAAATTACATCATTCTAAATTTTCTTCCATTATGTAATATGAATTTATGTATATATAATCAATTCATATGCATTCTTTTACAGTCTGCATTTCTCATTTACTGTAAACAAATTTGCCCATACCCACACACTACACATTTTCTATTCTACTTTATTGTCTGCATAGTCATTTCAGCATTTTTGAGCATATGGGTTACTTTTAAAATTTGGTATTTTTTGTTTGTTTGTTTGTTTTCAGACAGAGTCTTTCTCTGTTGCCCAGGCTGGAGTGCAATGGCACGACTGGCTCACTGCAACCTCTGCCTCCCGGCTTCAAGTGATTCTACTGCCTCAACCTCCCAAGTAGCTGGGACTACAGGTGTGTGCCACATTAGTGGCAGTACTAATTACCCAGGTGTAATTACACTAATTAGTACTAGTGTTCAGTAATTACACTAATTAGTACTAGCGTCCAGTAGTAATTACACCTGGGTAACTTTTGTTAGAGATGAGGTTTCGCCATGTTGGCCAGGCTGATCTTGAACTCCCGAATTCAAGTGATTCATCTGTCTCAGCCTCCCAAAGTACTGGGATTACAGGCATGAGCCACCGAGCCCAGCCTACTTTTAAAATTTAAACATAATTTTACAAATCCAAAACATGTTAATGTCACTAACATTTAAACTAAATTTTTATTGAAATAATTATCTGCTATTTATCCCTAGAATATGTTCTTGGCAATTATTAATGATACCTATTCTGAAGTGAAAGCTGATTATTCAATAGGCAGAAGGCCGGATTTTGAACTTGGTAAAATGATTAAACAGGTAAATCAAATTCCTTTCCTAATTAGTATTCTAAGACAAATCTCATAAAGCTTATCCTCTTGTAGTTTCAATACCACTTAACCCCAAGTGGTGATGTTCTCCCCACTCCCACCCCATCCCACCCCCAGGGTTGGTTTTTGTATTTTGATCCAGTGTTACTCATATTCACATTATTTCATTACTATGGAAGTGAGATATGCTCCCTGGCTTTAAAAATGTAGCCAAAATTATTTCAGAGTTCAATATATCAAATAGTTATTGAGTGATTTCCTAAATGCAAAGCACTATTGAGTATTATAATAAAACTTGCTCTTCCTTCTGGTAAGTTTTTACTCTGGATGCTATTAAATTTCTATCAACAATCTAAACGCAGAACTCCGTGTGTCTTGTCTTCCTCACTTTCCTGTTTCTGTTAATGGCAGCACTATCCTCTGAGTCACTCCTGGCTCAAAAACCTTGAAAAGAATTTGCTTCCTTATCCCTTATATAATCTATTGTCATGGCTTATGTATAGTTTATCTCTGTAATTCCTACTTACATTTGTGGAATACTTAAAATTCTAACTGCCACCACTAGATGAGGCTTTCAGTACTTTTCACCCAGCCTTCACTATGGTAACATTTCCTGACTATTCTAGCCTCTTCCCTGTGCCAGTCCAGATCTTATCATCAGTTTCTCTAGGCCTGTCAAGTCCAAATTCCTTACCCAAATATTCCAAATCCTCAAGTCTCACAGTCCCAAACTATCTTCATTAACTATAATTTTACAATAGTTTCTGCCTTTCTGCCTCTATTTACAACACTGTGTGTCCTGGCTAATCTGTTCTGAGCACTGTGCTATATACCATGCTTGTTCTCATTCTCTTCTCTGAGCCTCTGCCCAAGTCATTCTCTGACCCCTGAAATATTGCTACAGCTCTTCTCTCTGGCTACCACTCTATTCTTTAAAAAGTGGAATCTGTCCTGTCCTCCTCTCAATACCTACACCTCAGTTTGAGCTGTAGCAGTTACATATGTACCAGTCACATCTCCCCTGCCAGTTTGGCCATCTCTACATACCCCATGTTCCTAAAGCACAGCACTTCACAGAGAAGAGGTCCTATAATATGGAATGCTTGTGGGGTTAGTGGGGATTACAAACTTTGTCCAAGAACTAATCTGTAAAACAAATCAGAAAAACTGTTAAGCTATCCCTCAGTGAATTTGTTTCCCGCCCCCATCTTTTATCACTTGAATTCATGACGTTGGTTATATTCATTAAAAGTGTTAACATTCTTAATGCAATACATGTTAGTGCTTTTTAAAGATTTTTGCTTTTTCCAAGTTCCAGTATGATGCCCCCAACAGAAGAACCCCTTTTGTGTTTTCACCAGCAGGCATAAACCATATGTAGCAGTGAGGTAAAAGAAGGATAATCACAGTATTATCTCCACAATCCTTTAGGGTAGCAATCCAGAGGGACAAGCATTTCATATTTATTTTACCTTGATAAAACATTAATAATAAAGGATATATTTTGATAAATTTTCAAACTATTTTTAATTATGCCCAGAGTTACAAAAATATTCTCGAGAAATTCAGACTGAAGAAAGCTCAAAAAGATGAAGACAAGAAAACGTAAGATTACTTTTCTCAAATGTTTAACTTACCATTTTAAAGTTCTACATTATATGAGAACATTATGAGTAAAGATTTTTGGTTTTTTTGTTTCTTAATAGAGATGGGGTTTCACCATGTTGGTCAGATTGGTCTGTAACTCCTAACCTCAGGTGATCCACCCACCTGGGCCTCCCAAAGTGCTGGGATTACAGGTATGAGCCACTGTGCCTGGCCATGAGTAAAGGTTTTAATTGTGAAACAACTACCAGCCTATGTGGTGATTCTAAATACACTGTCAGTACATCCAGGAGTGACTCCAAATTTCTGAGGACATCATGAAATTCTAAGCTAATTTAAAATTAATATAAAGTCTGCCATCCTACTCAGAAAAAGCTGTGAGAGAAAGCTGGAGGGGAGAATAAAGTCCCTCTAAAAAGGTAGTAAACTATTTTAGTCTAAATTAAATGCATTTATTTGGCTATAAAAGTAACATTTTACTCACAATACTTATGAACAATACTTACACTTATACTGTATTTACACTTATATTTATTAGATGACTTTGGTGTCAAAACACTTCCCAAACCTAGAACTCTGGCAGTGGAACAGAAACATTTTTTTCACAGTTAATGACATATGATATTCTGAAGAACTTGTTAATGATTACATTTTCTAAATAATTAGTGTTATAGGCCGGGCGTGGTGGCTCACGGGTCAAGAGATCGAGACCATCCTGGTCAACATGATGAAACCCTGTCTCTACTAAAAATACAAAAAATTAGCTGGGCATGGTGGCGCGCACCTGTAATCCCAACTACTCAGAAGGCTGAGGCAGGAGAATCGCCTGAACCCAGGAGGCAGAGGTTGCGGTGAGCAGAGATTGGGCCATTGCACTCCAGCCTGCGTAACAAGAGCGAAACTCCGTCTCAAAAAATAATAATAATAATAATAATAATTAGTGTTATCAGAAAGAAAGACTATTCAGATCTTTACTACAGATCTGATTATATTTTATGGTGGGATTTCCTTTTTTACTGCCATTTGCCTCTGATTTTTATTTTATATTCTCAGTACCAAAGACAGTGGAGATTTGGCTGAACAAGCCAGAAGAGAAGGCTTTGACGAAAATGTAAGATTTTAATTTTTTTCATAAACACAAGTGGTACCTCTATTAGAAATATGCTCAGAAAAATGCTCTGGTTAAGAATTGAAATGATTTGCTGTTTTTCAGAGCAGTAATTGTCACCTCCAAATAAATCACCCAGAATCTAGATCCTTTCATGTTTAGAACAAACCATTTGGATTTCAGCTGCTTCCTCTCTCCTGTACTCTGTCAGACTCCTGATTCTACAGGTGTACACTCACTGTGCGAATATCACACTGGGTATTCATAGTGAGTATACTCTGTGGAGATGATTTGATAATTTTTCTCTTGTAATCATTAATGTGATGAATTACTTTAACAATTTTGTATTTCAAACATTGTAACATATAAATATATCTGACAATTGTAGAATTTAAGGAACACCTATTTTCCTTAAATATACTACTACCACTACCACTCAAAAAAAAAAAAAATGAACCACTGCTCTACTTCTGGTCACCACCTCTTCCCTCCAAATGCTCAGAAGACAGCAGGGTCAGAAGACTATAGTAAGCAAGCAAATAAATATTGAAGTTTCACATTTTCAGATAAAGGAATTATAAAAATGGAAAGGCTGAAGGTGAACTTTGTGGTGCTGGATTAGAATCTAGATGTATTTGTGTTCATATACATACATGTATTTTCTAGCTCTATCCAATCCACTATGAGGGCTAGAAGAAATGACACCCTAGCAGCAATGAGCACAACTAGTACCCAGATCTTGGTTTCCAAATAGCATTCTCCTCTAAAAGGAACTGGGCTCCTTGGAGATCTCGCTCATTCCAAGGCTGGAAAGTACAGCTGACTCTTGAATGACACAGGTTTGAATTGCACGGGTCCACTTAAATGCATAATGTTTCCACCTGGATGGAAAATTCAGTATTTGCAAGTTAGGGAGGGCTTTTCCCTAGATGTGGGTTCTGCAGGACTGACTGTTGAGACTTGAGTATATGCAGATTTGGGTACACTCAGGGGTCTTGGAACCAATCCCCCATGTATACTGAAGGACGACTATACAAGATGAGTCTGGAATAGCTTATTGAGACATAAAGTAAAACTGCTCAAAGAATGATGAAGATCTATTAAAAGAATCAGTTTATGCTCAAACTGGCCAAATTTGAGAATATTTAAGCATTATGATAATGATTTATACCCCATTGAATAAAAGAATTCCATGAATGAGACATTTATATGCCTCTCCACCAAATACTTATTACAAAAAGAAAAGCAGTCATGTTAGGGTGGAGAAGTCTGACTGCATCTTAAGTAAGTGACCACAATCAACACTGAAACAAATAGAAATTATGCTGCTTGATAGGAGGCCATGAGAATCAGCATCCCTTCTGTGACATCCCTGTCAAAGCCATATCATCTGAATCTAAATCATGACAAAATTTAAATTGAGGGACATTCTACAAAATAATTGGCCTGTTCTTCAAAAGTGTCAAGACATGAAAGTCAAGGTAAAGCTGAGGAACTATTCCAGATTAAATGAAATTAAAATGATATGTCAAGTAAATACAATGCGTAATCCTGGACTGGATACTTTTCCTATAAAGGCATCACTGGGACAACTGATAAACTTGAAAGGGAGACAGAGGATTAGATGGTAATAATCTATAAGTCTTAATTTTCTGATTCTGATGATGATTGTACTATAATTATAAAAGAGAACGTCCTTATATGCAGGTACAGACTGAAGTTTTCAGGGATGATGGAGCATTCATGTTGGTGGCTTTCAAATACTTCAAGAGGAAAAAATATTTATATTGTTCTTGTAACATTTATCTAAATTAGATTTTTTTTTTTGAGACAGTCTTGCTCTGCCGCCCAGGCTGGAGTGGAGTGGCGCCATTTTGGCTCACTGCAACCTCCACTTCCCAGGTTCAAGCAATTCTCCTGCCTCAGCCTCCCAAGTAGTTGGGATTATAGGCGCTTACCACCACACCCAGCTAATTTTTGTATTTTTAGTAGAGATGGGGTTTCACAAGTTTCAGACTGGTCTCAAATTTGTGACCTCAGATGATCTGCCCGTCTTGGCCTCCCAAAGTGCTGGGATTACAGGTGTGAGCCACCGTGCCCAGCCTAAATTTGATCTTTAAAGAAAAAAAAAAATCTATACTTCAGTAGACCATTACTGAAATAAAAGATGATGTGAATTGAAAGACACACTGTATATATGTGAAAATTTACCTAGAATGGTCAATATGAGGCTTATCCAAGTAAAATTTGGGTTAAAGAAAATCAAGTTAGCATAACAACATTCAACACCATAAATCAACAGAACACCTACAATTTATTCAGGGACAGAAAATGTAAACCAAGGAATTTTATCTTCAGCAAAGCTGCACTTCAAATATAAAGGCTCAAATATGCCTGAAGTCAGGGAATACTATCATCTTTCTAAGGATTCTACTAGAGGATGAGCATCAGCCAACCAAAAGATGATTGGAGAGGATGGGCAAGGTGGCTCACACCTGTAATCCCTGCACTTTGGGAGATCACTTGAGCCCAGGAGTTTGAGACCAGCCTGGGCAACATGGTGAAACCCTGTCTCTACAAAAAGTACAAAAATTAAAATTAAAAAAAAATGTTAAAGAATATCATTTAGAATAAACCAGTAAGAAACATCAGCATAAGTGTACAATGGTAAATAATAAGACTTTTACTGATGTTTATTTTTTTGTTTTGAGACAGGGTTAGCTCTGTTGCCCAGGCTGAGGTGCAGTGGCATGATTACAGCTCAGTGTAGCCTCAACCTCCCTGGCTCAGGTGATCCTCCCACCTCAGCCTCCCAAGTAGCAGGGACTACTGGTATGTGCCACCACACTCAGCTAATTTTTGTGTTTTTTATACAGATCACGTTCCACCATGCTACCCCTCGAGCTTCTGGGCTCAAGTGATCCACCTGTGTTGGCCTTCCAAAGTCTTAGGATTATAGCTGTGAGCCACTGCACCGATTTTTTTTTTTTTTTTTTAAATTATACAATGACGGCATCTCACTGTGTTACCCAGGTTGGCCTTGAACTTCTGGCCTTGAGCGATCTTCCCACCTTGCCTCTGAAAGTTCTGGGATTATAGGCATGGCCACTGTGCCAGGCAAGCCCTGTTTCATTGACTTTAAAACACATTTTCCCCCTACATTTTAACATCTGTGAAATCAAAATGTGTTTTATAGTTAACAGTCATAGGTTGACATTTTTTACCTAAGTGGTATGTGACATAATGGTATGTCTTACAAAAGACGTCATCTCTCATATACAATGAAAAATAATATTATTGAATATAATTGGGTAGTGGAGGAGAGGAAGATGAAGAATTTACAAGCTAATTTGCTTGTTGATCATAGGAAAGAAACAAAGCAAGAAAGGGATGTCTAAGGGTATATAAAATGATACACAAAGACGGCCGGGTGTGGTGGCTCACACCTGTAATCCCAGCATTTTGGGAGGCTGAGACAGGCAAATCACCTGAGGTTGGGAGCTCGAGACCAGCCTGATCAACATGGAGAAACCCCATCTCTACTAAAAATACAAAAATTAACTGGCGTGGTGGCACATGCCTGTAATCCCAGCTACTCGGGAGGCCGAGGCAGGAGAATCACTTGAACCTGGGAGGTGGAGGTTGCGGTGGGCCAAGATTGCACCACTGCACTCCAGCCTGGGCAACAAGAGCAAAACTCCGTCAAAAAAAAAAAAAAAAAAAAAAAAAATCCAATAGAACAAAAATACATATATTTCTATAGGGCAAAAAAGAGAAAACAGACCACATGGTAAAAGACTTAAAAGATAAATATAAAACAGTATAACTGCAACCAGATATATCTAATATAAATACGTGCAAATATGCTTAATTTACTTAAAAAGAAAAACATTTTCATCCAGCAAAGCTGTGCTTCAAATACAAAGGCACAAACATGCAAGAACTCAGGGAATACTACCATCTTTCTAAGGATTCTACTAGAGGACAGATGCGGTTTGAATCACAAACCAAACCCAGTTCTAAACTATATCCTAAAATATATACTTAAAGAGATTCTAAAATGTTAAATATAGAAATATGATCAAAGACATAAAACGCAAACAAAAGATATCAGGGATACAACTCAATATAAGTCAAAGAATTCTAGACAAAAAGCTCCAAATGACCTAAAGTCTAAATGACTTTATAAGGCTAAGATTAATTTTATCAGTTATGAATATCTATGCACCAGAGTATCAACTTTCATAAAGATTACTGGGTTTTAAAAAGGAGAAATAGGCAGGAACACACAAAAAAGAAAAAACATCCCAAGAAAAATAAATGGATTAAAAAACCCAAAACAATATAGTAAGATGATCTTACAGTTGTATATTAAATTCTGTACTCTCAGAAAATGCCCCTTCTTTTTAAAAACTCATTCATGAAAATTGCTCACCTATTGGGACACAAAAAAAGCCTCAATATATTCCAAAAGTTAATGCAGAAAAAAACTCTTTGAAAACACAATAAAAATATGTTGATAATAAAATCAGAAAATAAAAACATTGACTAAAAAATGTCAAAACTCTCTATTAAATGACCCTTGAGTCAAACAAATATAGGCCAGGCACGGTGGCTCACATTTGTAATCCCCGCATTTTGAGAGGCCAAGGCAGGTGGATCACAAAGTCAGGAGTATCACAAAGTCAGGAGTTCAAGAACAGCCTAACCAACATGGTAAAACTCCATCTCTACTAAAAATACAAAAATTAGTCAGGTGTGGCGGCGCATGCCTGTAATCACAGCTACTCAGGAGGCTGAGGCAAGAGAATTGCTTGAACCGG